TCCCCCAAAAGGAATGTTGGGAGAGAGAGCCAACATAGAAATCAGAGTGGAGTTAACCGTCTAGTCCAATATTTCTGCCCATCCCATATGACTGCTGCTACTCGTACTCTTTTGGAACCAGAGTGACAATTCCCCACCACTTGCTGCTGGAAGACATGCCTAGGACAGGATGAACAAACAAGTGGCTCACCAGCTTATTTGACGGAGGACTATGGGTAAAGCTTACTCGATGGAGTAAGAGAGATACAATTTACATTCATAAACACAAACAACATATACTTGGATAAGCAGTAACAGTACTCCTAGGTTACGGGGGGGAGGGGGGAAGGACATGAACAGTGAACAGAGGGCAATGACTTAACCAGAATTCCAGAAGGAAAGGCAGACTTTTAGAAAGAAAAAGCTGCTTGTAAGCAGAAAGGGAGGAAACGCAGACTGGGGCTGTGAAGAAGAGATAATAGTGGAATGCAACTTGTTCTTACTACATCTGAACTTCGGTTTCCCAGTCCCCATCTTCTGGGCCAGCCTAGCAGATCTTCTTGAAGGCTGACACCCTTCAGATACCTCTAGGTAGCTCCCATACGCACTCTGACTCCCACCCCTTTGTCTCTGTGGGCCAAACACTGCACAAAGAGTCCTTTTAATGAGTCCCTGTGTTGCAGTCACTGCTCAGAATGAAAACTCCTTCCCATTCAGGGATATCTTTTCTCCCTTCTGCCATCTACTGGTGGAACTGAACATATATTCCCTCACCTGACTGTTCCTGATTTGCAAATAGGTTGGAGTCCAAAAGCTCATTATTTAATACTTGTTATGTGGAAGACATTTTTCCAAAGGAAAAAATATGTATGGTTCCATCTTTCCTTCATCAAATAAGCATTTAATGAATAACATAATATGAAAGTATACACATATAAACACAGTATATATAATATAGAGGCTTCAAATTTTTACTTAACTCCTTATCAGCTATACAACCTAGACAAGCCACTTAGCCAGTCTTCATCTGTAGTAATCGTAATAATAGTGATAAATATAGTGGCTAACATTATTAATCACTATGATGAGCCATAGTATACTCATGTAAACCCCACAACCCTGTAAGGTAGGCACATTACATAAGATCTATGGCTCTTCAGATAAGGAGACTGGAACATGGAAAGGGTGAATACCTCGCCCATGGTCTCACAGCTCATAAGAAGCAGACCTGACAGTCTGACTACACAGTCATAACAGGAACGATAACCACCTTTCAGGATTGTTCAAGGACTTAGATGCAACACAGGTAAAGCTGCTGACACACAGCACCTTTTAAAAACAACAGCTATTGATCATTCACTGGGGGTTGGGCCCTGCAAGATCGTAAAGCTGCATCCACATCCATGAATGAGCCATGGTCCCTGCCCTCTAGGCAAGCACAATTACAACACAGTGCTAAGACCGAGTTCAGCAAAGACAGATTCGGACTTTTTTTTTTTTTAACTTTCTTCGGCATAGTCTTCCTAGTACCTGGCACAGTGGCGAGGATATAGCAAGCACTGGGAAGGAACAGAATTTTTAAAATAAAATAAAATTAGGTTCAAGACTCTGAGTCAGACAGGATAGATGCCCTTAATTCCCATATTAGCAAGTGAGAGAGACCGAGGTTCAGGACCTACCAAAGATCACACAGCAAGAGCTAGTGGGAGCGACTACTTTTACCAACTTCATTGCACTCCCCCATCCCTCTGCTTTCTTCCAGGCCCCCACGTGGCATCCAGAGGTTAATGAAGGTAATACTTTGAGGGTATCAGGTGGGTGGATGGCTATAAGCAGATAAAAACTTCAATAAGAGCAGACATTGGGGACCACATCACAGAGATTACACGGTCTCTAATGGGCCCATTTTCTTCCTGTCTCTCTTCCACTTGGCACAAATCAGCTCTTTACTCTAGGTGAGACTGTTGAGGGCTATTTCCCAGAGTTCAAGTTTCTACAGTTATTTTTAGCTGGAATTTTACTGCATACCTGGGACAGGTGAGGCATGAAAAGGAATGTGGGTGTGGGTAACCCTTGAATCTCTAGTGCCAGGGTCTGGGTCTCTTGTCATTCCAGCCGAAGAGGGGTGACTCACACCCTGATTTATTATCTGCACTAAGGCTAGGTTTCACCTTAAGAAATATGTGGATTAAAACCTCCTGTATATTCTCTAATTTTGTATTCAAGTCTTTGTGTGTGTTTGCTCTTTGGAACATGCTTTCTTGGATGTTACTTTGTTACCTGCTTTTGATAACTTGGAATGCCTTCATTTTCTGTAACCAATATCACAGCCTGTGGTTCTTTCTAGTCCCATTTCCCAGGCCTTTGAGGGACCTGGGGCAGATTAGAGTACCTGATTTACATTTTTTGCAGGTGAGAAGCTACCTGGAAAACACTCTGGCTGTAAGCTGGATGTCTTGATAGTCAGCCAAGTTCTAGGATATTCATTACATTGTTTAAGGACTAAGAAAGAATCGTGATCTATGCGTCCACACCCCTTCTGGCCACCACTAGAATGCCCTCAGAGTGCCCGAAATTCCAGAGTGCCTGGGATTCTGAGCCTGCTTGAAGCTTGGAATGGCTTCTCCAACTGACCCCTTCATAAGACAGAGGTATTTTCCTCATCTCACGTTAGCTCTGTACAGAAGAGGTAAAACCAGGCTCACTAGGATCATGAAGTCATGACACCGTAAAGCTATAAAAAGTGGTTTTATGATTCAGCTGAGAAATAGAGAACTTTTTCTCTGGGCCAGCATTCCATGACTATTGAGATACGCCCTTTAAAGGTCTTAAAAGTCAGGTGAGGTGTGTTTGTTTGCAGTTGGGAGAGGTGGAGAGGTTGGTCAGTTGGTTGAAGCTGTTTCTTAAATCAGGAAAACAGAACTAAAGAATTACACCAAGAAGGGAACAGAACAAAGGCCACAGACCTCCCTCCCCATTCCTTAACTAGAGCCACTGGTAACCTGACTGCAAAGACAATTTACATTTCATTTAAAGAAAGTCGTTTTAAACCCCTAAACTTCTACCCATCCCACCATTTCTGAAGACCTACCTCCTGTCTCTTCTAATCAACTCTTACCACTTCTATTTCACAATGCAATCTTAAACCCTAAGGAACATAGCAGTCCAGAAAGAGTTTGTAATGGATTGACTAGTGTACCCCAAAAAATTCATGTCTACCTGGAACCCCAGAACATGTGACCATTATTTGGAAAGAGGGTCTTTGCAGGTAAAAAGTTGATCCTTGAACACAAGAGTTAATAATTTAACAATCCTTCCCCTGCCCTATGCAGTTGAAAATCTGCATATAATTTAAAATATATTTTTATTGATTTCAGAAAGGGAGAGGGAGAAATAGAAACATCGATGATGAGAATCATTGATTGGCTGCCTCCTGCACGCCCCCTACTGGGGATCGAGCCCGCAACTGGGCATGTGCCCTTGACCTGAATCAAACCCAGAACCCTTCAGTCCGCAGGTCGATGCTCTACCCACTGAGCAAACCGGCCAGGGCTGCATATAATTTTTGACTCCCCCCAAAAAATAACTAGAATTGCCCCTAAGTATCCATGAGGGATTAATTCCAGGGCCCCCTGCAGATACCAAAATCTGCAGATACCAAAATCTTCCCAAATCCCTTATATAAAGTAGCGTAAAACAATGCATAGTGAGTTTTCCACATCTGCAGATTCCCAACCACGTTTAACTTAAGAACCACCAATAAATTTGCCATGTAACTGCCACTGTTAGTTTCTTACCTATGAGCAAGATCTTCTTAAATCTATGTCCTTTAACTTATAAAGGTCTTCAAGAAGTTTCAATCTTTAAAAAATAATATTTAAATTTATTATTTCACATGAGGTCTAACGAAGCACAAGCTGAGATTGCTTATGTATCCTAGGTATCCCCATTCTACAGATGCAGAAGCGTCTTTACAATTCCAGGTCAAGTGCTGCATCACATAGTCCTTGACTTGCAGCTGAGAAAGCAACAGGTCTGTGTGAAGTGACAGAAGGGCACATCCTACTCCTGTCATGAGCAGGAACCAAAGTGGAAGAACAGTAAAACCTGTACAAAACATTCTGCAGTCATGACACTCCAACACATAGAAAGGAGAGTAAGTACTGAAGCAGCTGAGCAGATTCTGGACATAATTCTGACAGACTTCGGTCTGAAGAACTCTACTGCAGGAGGTTTCTTTCTCTTCCTCAATCCCCTTTCACACAACCGAAAGCAGAAATCAAGTCTTTATAAAAGAGACTAACGGCCTTTCCGTTTCTTCATTTTCCCTCCTGCCACCTTGTTCCTGACACCCATAGCACCCTCCGTATCATCATTGTCCCCAGCATCCTCCCGTGTACGTTTCTTCTTTTCTCCATGCTCCCTCAGCTCCTGCAAAACAGAAAGGATAGGACTGAAAATGAACCACTGCCACTGAAGATTAACACATCCTGGTCTCTCCTCCGTAAAATCAAACAATGAGTAACTTCCTAAAGTTTCACATTAGCAAGGAAATAAGACCAAAATCCCGATATACAAAAATGTTAACCTTATTAACAATCAAAGATACAAATTCAAATAATAAGCTATTATTTTCACATGGCAGACTAGCAAAGATTTTAGAGAATGGTAATATCTAGTAGTCAAAATGTGAGGACATTCACATATACTTTCACTGACAGTGTAAACTGCTATAGCTTTTCTACAGGGCAATGCAGCATTCCATGTGAATTCAAATTTTAACTGTATACTCCTCAGCCCAACTGTTCTAGGATTATTCTAAGGAAACAAGACAAGTACGTAAAATTGTACATACTAGGATGTTCAACCGTGCTAGTTAAGATAGAAAAAATTACAAAAAGCCTAAATACATATCAATGTAAATCATGTTACATATGCATAACAATTCTTTGCAGCCATGAAGAAATGATCACATGAATCTAATTTGCTGAAATCAAAAAATATTAATCATATACAATTAGATAAAGTCTAATTATGGCTAAGAAAAGAAAAACTGCCAACGGTTTCCTATGGTTCTCTGTGGGGGGTGGCTTATACGTTCCATTTACTATTTGAATCCTTTCTGTATTTTCTGAATTTCCCCCTCCCAATGCACATGTCAACAAAAATATCAAAGAATTCTATTTTGAAAGAAAAATAAAACCAAGTCCACACTTCAGCTACTCGAGGCACCCCACGGGCGAAGTTCCTCTGTCCCTCAGGCTAGAATTCCAGGGAGCAGATGACACTTGCAAGGATTCTCCTTTAGAATCTTCTCATCTCCACTGCTACTGTTACTGCTACTACTGGCAACTATGCAGTTTATATTAGCTTACCTGGTGCTCACAGAATCCTGTAAGGTATTCAAGGTAAGCATTACTCCCTAAATTAGGATAGTAACTGCTTGGTGAGGAACTGCTTCTGAGAAATCAGTCACAACTGGGACATCTGATCTCAAGTTCTAAGGCTTTCCTGCCACATGTGAAACATGAACAGAGGCTGAGACTGTGGTCACTGTGGTCAGACTGAGTCTGAATCCTGATTCAACCACTTAGTTGCATGGTTTAATGATGGACCTACCATCTCTAAGCTTTAGCATGCTTAGAAATGCATTTATTCTTAAATTCAGAATACATTACCCAGCTCCTACATTTTATTATGAGGACTAATAAAATATCTAGCACATAGTTAATATCATTTGCAAAGAAGTTGGTAAAAAAAATAAGTTGCATACCATTCGGGCAAACCTTTGGGCTTCAGTCACACGTTCTGTCAGCATCATAACCTCATCATCCTGTGTTGGAAAGACAGGCAGTTTCTTTCCAATTAAGTGTTCTATGCGCTGGAAGAGTTCCACATCATACCTGAGAAAGAAACATTGGCATGGTTTTGGTGGACTGACAATGTAAACGTCAGCCCATTCCAAAATACGTATTACATTACATGATGCAACAGGAGCCACAGTGTTAAACAATACTGAATCTACTGGTCCTTTTCAGAATACTAACTAAATGCAATATTCTGTGCATAGCCCAGGGGTGGGCAAACTTTTTGACTCGAGGGCCACAATGGGTTCTTAAACTGGACCGGAGGGCCGGAACAAAAGCATGGATGGAGTGTTTGTGTGAACTAATATAAATTCAAAGTAAACATCATTACATAAAAGGGTACGGTCTTTTTGTTTTTTAGTTTTATTCATTTCAAATGGGCCGGATCTGGCCCGCGGGCCGTAGTTTGCCCACGGCTGGCATAGCCCATTAGAAAATCCCCCAATACAGTCTTTACTCCCAGAAAAGCACCGGGTTCATAAAATTTTTCCTTTAAAAATAAAATCAGAAATAGTTATTCTAATTCTGTGAGGTGAGGGGAGGTCAGTGCTCTCTGGCTCTAGCAGTTAAAGACCGGTTTAGCTCAGTGGAGAGAGCATCGGCCTGTGGACCGAAAGGTCCCAGGTTCAATTCCGGTCAAGGGCATGTACCTGGGTTGCAGGCACATCCCCAGTAGGAGGTATGCAGGAGGCAGCTGATCAATGTTACTCTCTCATCGATGTTTCTAACTCTCTATCCCTCTCCCTTCCTCTCTGTAAAAAAATCAATAAAATATATTAAAAACATTAAACTTTAAAAAAAGAAATAATAGGGTGGTTTTTGTCCTTCTATATACTAAATACTATACTAGCCCTTGTAGACAACATCTCCAATCTCATTAAAGCCTTGCAGTATTAACTTAGGGGCCAGTGAATTCTTTGCTGTGGGGCTTCCTTTGCAGCGTGGGATGCTTAGCAGCATTCCTGGCCTCTTCCCCCAGGTGGCACTGTGACAAACTGATGTTTTCAGACTTTTCCACAGGCAGGCATTATTTCCATTTTACGAACGATGAAACTGGGAGCAGGGAGGTTAAGTAACCGGTAGAGTCAGGTTCCAAGTCGGTCTGCTCCCAAGCTCTGCTTTTTTCTCAACACTGCTCTGCCCCAACACAATTCACTTACTGTGTGACAAAGGTAATAGACTTTCCGGAGCGCCCAGCTCGAGCTGTTCGACCTACTCGATGGATGTAATCCTGAAACAAAAAGGGTAAATGAATTTGAGTTACATGTAGTATAAATAAAAACTATGCAAGTAAGGTCTTACTGCAAACCTCTGAAAGAAAACAAATTAGTATTGGAACATGGAAAATGGGTTTAAAATTCTGTTGAGATAAATCTGCATCACCTTTTTTATTCTCACAACACAAACTGACCCCATTTTTCCTTTCTTTTATAGAAAGACAAATCTACAAAGCTATCTACATGGTCACTGAGCATATTCACATGGTGCAGAGAAAACAGCATTGGTTCTAGAGGGAGACCTGAGTCACAGCTCTGGTTTTACCACCTACCAGCTGCACAACAGCCTGTAAATCACATAACCTGTCTGAACCTTGACTTCTTACCCATAAAACAGGGATAGAAGGCATGCCCAAACTCACAGTGACTGTGAAAATCAAATGAGACAGCACCTTGTCTACAGCAGTTAAATATATAGCCAAGAGGTACGAGTTGGTCTCAACCAGGGAGGATTTTGTCCTCCCCAGGGAATATTTAGAAAAATCTGAAAACTTATCTGCTTGTCATAGTGTCACCTGAGGGTAAAGGCCAGGAATTCTGCTAAGCATCCTACACTACAAAGGACAGCCCCCACAACAAAGAATTCACTGGCCCCAAATGTTAACAGTGTCCAGACTGAGAAACCCAGATACACTAAGGACCACAAGCTGTCACTTCTAAAAAAATGAGACTGACAAAGATCAGCACACTGCATCTGCCCCTCTGACTGTGATCATTACTTAACGCCTCTCTCTGGCTACCTTCATTCACCTTTATTAATAGTGTATCTGCAGGCAGGTGCAAAATGGTAAGAATGAATAAATCAGGAGCTTTCCTAGTTTTTGACACTTAACTAATCATGGACCAAAGAAAGAAAAAGAAAATACAGTAAACATTTCATTAAGAAATATACTCTGGCCCAGCTGTGGCTCAGTGGTTGAGCGTCAACCTATGAACCAGGAGGTCACAGTTCAATTCCTGGTCAGGGCACATGCTCGGGTTGCAGGCTCAATCCCCAGTGTGGGGTG